TTTCTGAATAGGGATAAACCATCTCAACATCCAGATTCTAGTAGGTGTGAACAGCAGGGACTCAGTGCTTTTGCCCAAGGCCCACTGTTACAAGGAAATCATGACTTTCCATTTAATCCTTACATTCTTTTCAATACTATTTCTATTAAAGACAAATATTGAACAAGTGACCATTGCCAGAAACACAGGTTTGCGTTAATTAAAATATGGGAGATATGAATATGTGGTCTAAGACCTAGAAAGAATTGGTGGTGATGGGGGTGATAGCAATAACAACAACAACAAATCATGAAATCCCAATTCAAGTAGTATCAAATATACCGGAAGAAAGAGTCTGACTTACTTAAAAGATCATGGGTTCATTTTAGCTTTACTTATTAAAATAAAAAAAGTTACTTAGACTATGTGCCAGGTCCAGCTTCTGAGGACACAGCACAGAAGTGTGTAAGAGAGGTTAATCTGATGGTGGCTGGATGGGAGAATAGTTTGAATAATCAATCCTGCACGATATTCCCCCAGTTTCCACCCTAATCTAAAAGAACCAAAACAGTTCAAGTTCAAGGTTGACCCTCCATGAAGTATTATTTAGTAGATGTCTTCTAGACATTCCTTTTCTCCACACCTGTTCGCTGTGGCCTGAAATTCTATTATGAGATGACAAAGCATTAAGCCCCCAATTACAGATAAATAATAGAAGATGCAACTGCCAAATAGAATGATCACATTAGCTGAAATACACTCATCTGAAAAAAGTAAATCAGGTAATGAATAAAACATGCAAGTGAATGTGATCAAGTTGTTTATAAGTTTTGGTAACGGGGAGAAAATTAGAGACTTAGGACAGCAACGGACATTTCAAGGGAGGGGTAGAATCATCATTGAGAGAAGAACAAGAAAGAAAAAAAGAAGTCAACTTCACCAAACTTAGTTTTTAGTCAACTTAGTTCAGGCTTAGTCTGCCTTCAACTCTGTGGACAAGTAAAATGTGTAGGCAGAAGACATTTTGCACTGCACACCCTCGTATATGCACAGGGGAAGAAGCACACACATCCATCATTAGCAAATGAAGTAGACCAACATAGCATTATGTTTAACAAAGTTTATTTCTTGGCACTTATTTGTTGACTGGGTTAGTACTCAATTTCTTATAGACTTATTTTTGGAGGATTGACTAATCAAGGAGTTTTTACACTTCCCCAGGAATAACTCACAGCTAAGTATGAACTCATTTATACAGGTGGCTGCCTCACGACAGTGTTCTTTCTTCTCAGACAGTTACAGGGGGATAAAAGGAATGAGATGATCATTAAAGAGGATAAAACATTCTATTAAGAAGAAGATGGTAATTCAAGAACCTAAGATAAGGTTATTTGGATTTTTCCCCAATGATTAGCTATTCTTTACTTGTCAAAATAACACGTGTATTTGTTGAGGGAAATGGTTGCCATCCCAAGGACCATAAAAATATTCCATGTTTATAAAAGGAACATATTTTTTAATCAGACATAGCTATCATCGCACAAGGACTTCTGCATTATCACAAAGAAAGGAAAATTCTTATTCACATGATAAAAGCAATTTGCACATATGAATTCACTACCTGAAGCCAATGAAAGTAGAGAATATATAAATGTGTTGGAAAGGAAGAAAAAAAATATTTTGTTGTAAAATGAATTTGAACTAAAGAACCTTCATTATGTTTTTTTAATGGTGACAACACTGTAAAGCCAGGGGGTGCTGCAATATGGTGAATCAATTTTATTCAATTTTATTGTTTGAACATAGCACTTAGTTGTCATGCCAACCATCTTAAACTGTAACCTGAAGACAATTAGATATGAATGAGAGTATTTAAAAAGTTAAACTGATAACTTCAGGTAAAGTTTCCAGCAGGGTTTAGGGCAGGGCACAAAGATACTATCCTTTGAGCTTGGGCCTTAACCGTGGTGGTGAGTTGAAAGAACAGCAAAGATTTTAAATAATTACTTCAGATAATTTATTTAAAACTTCAGCACAAACAAATCTATTTTTGTTGTAGTCTCACAGCAGAGAACATTTAATATGTAAAGAAATGAGAGGAAAAGAGAGGAAGGAAGAATAGTACGAGCAAAGAATCAACTTTAATTTTAAATACCTCTATATTTGGGCTGAGACTTTTGTCATAATATCAACCAATTCTTAAAATAAAATGAGGTAGCTAATTACATGTTTTAAAACAAAGACAATACTAGTTGTTTTGACTTAATTTATCCTTTCCTGTGAGATATATCAAACAAAATTATTATAAAAGACATATTCAATGTGCTAAAACAGTAACATTTTAGCATCTATAAAGATAGTACCCTCAAAGCCACTCTCTAAAATGCTGAACATTTTACCTGGGGCAGGGATGAGTTTTGCCAGAATGGGAAAACGTTAGGAGAGGAATTGATTCCTGTAATTTCTACCTATTTTTTACTTTAGGTGTTAGCACATTTCTACTCTGATTTTGGGACTGCCCTCAAATAGAGGATGACTTATGGCATGGGACAGTGAAGACCCAAAATTAATTACCTGTCCAGAACTTCCAGACCAAAGTAATATAATTGCATCTGCCAGGTGGTTAGAAAGAGAACAAAGAGACCCAGGAGTGAGCTCTTTGGGGAATAAGTGTACAGCAGTCCGGTAATCCTAACCTCTACCCAGTTAGTGTGGCTGCATCTCTAGAAAATAAAATAGCTGGCAAACTCAGGCCTAAGTGAGAAGATATACACAAACAGTCACCCAGATGTGATGCTCTGTTGCTTGTCAGTTTAGTATCATAGGATTAGTCAGTGTCTATCACTGACTGTGCGCGTAGTGAAGGGTCTTGGGCACCAAAACAGCCTCTGCAGTGTGAATCCAAGTTCTCCATTCTCATGCATTATAAACATTTTTCTCTTTAGTGGGAAAACAGCCAGTAAATGACATGTAATTTCATCTAACTACAAATTCAGGATAAGCACTTTGGTTTTAACTCCAATTATTTCAGATGGTAAAATAAGTTAGTTTTCTCGTGTATGAAATATGTGAACTCCTTTAGATAGCCTCTACTACAATCTCTTTGGGTTCTAAGATTCCCTCTCCTCATTGTATATCTTTTCCTTATTAAACTGCAAACATTCAGAAAAGGGTCAATTATTAAATCACTTAAAATTTAAGTCTCTTTTTCTTAGGAAATAAGTCACTTAGTAAAGAAGCATATGGTCTGTTAAGTAGAAAAGACACAGAAGGGAAGAAATAGATAAGAAGGGGTGAGAGCTTGGAGAGATTACAGACAAACTTATCCTGGGATAGAAAGCAATGAAGAACTTACCCCAAAATGGGTACATACATAATACAACATAATGAGGGTCTTGCAGCACTGTACTGAAGCTAACAAGAGCTAGAAATGTTTCCTATGTCTGTTTTTTATGTCTATGACCAAAAGAAACCATGCTACTACTACTTTCTATTCTGCCTTCCAAGATAACATTTGAAATTTGAACTCGACTTGGCAAAAAGTGAACAAACAGGCAAACAAAAAAATTAGTTCCTTCCAGCTAGTTTTGAGAAATGGACTTGTTACAACTTGCCCCCTTGTCAGGGAGAAAGACCCAAGTATAGACATTCCTCCTTCCTGAGGGAGATTCTTGGGTTTAATGGCAAGGAACACCTTTTCTAGAGTTCTGTCTTTGCTCCATATGTTTCCTATTGTTTGAGTTTATCTCAATTTGAGATACAAGCTTTTTTTTTTCTTTATTTAGCCTACACTATTCACTAGTCTTGACCCAAATGAGGTTTATCTCCAGTGGCAAGAGTTCATTCTATTTGAATGGAGTTCCATGAAGAAAGAAAAAAGATCATAAAGACATTTGATATGACCAAACACCTCTCTATTTTACCAAAATTGTGAATTATCATGTTTTGTTTGTGTTTGTGGAGTTGCCTCTTTTAATATGTTTTCAATAGACAACAAGGCACTAAGAATGGTGGGTAAATGATAGATGGCCAAAATAGCTACTACCTAACAATGTTACTGGAACAATTAGAGTGCAGAAAACTCTCTCATATGAGAAGCCAACTAAAAACAAAGGTTGGCATAATGCTGGTTCTTTGGTTCTTTTCAGATTAATAGAATACACTTGTTCCAAACTCATCTCTCTCACTTGAAACTGTTTGGGTTGTCTTTGATCTGCTTGTTTTCAACTCCCCTAAAATACACAATAGTGGATCCTATTCTTTGTGAAACTTTACTTTTCTTCTTTTTTTATACATATCCAGAGTGCCATATATATTTGTATACGTGGACATACATATGCCTTGTTTTCGCACTCAGAGAGCACAGAAATTATTCTTAAAGAAAGCCTCTTTCTAGCCAGATTCTATTAGGTCATGTTATTCAAATACAAAATAACACACAAAATTCATTTGTTCATTTGGTATCTAGTTGCTAAGGAACACAGCCAGAAAGTTAATCTTTGCAACACAACAGACCAGTAGAGACCCTGAGCATTGCCCATAGGCATGTACAGAGCCTCTGAGCAAGGGGAACTACACTTTTGTATTCAAACTGGGAAAAGCATAGCATTATCGGGAAAATAGCTATTTATACCCCATGTACAATGGAATTAAAACAGTGACATCCATTCTCCTTGCAAAAAAACCAGTAGCTTTTCTAGACTCATAACCTCTCAAGTTGTTTAACATATCTTAAACAGAAGCCCTATCACTTCTGCCTTTAAATAGTAAAATGGGACTCCTGAAAAACATAAATGTTCTGAAATGTCCCATCAAGTACACCATAGAAAACAATTTAACTTTGTTTTTCTTAAAGGCCACTTTCCACACAGAGATGAATCTGACAGAGCAGTAAACGCCATCTGAATCATTCAAAGATCTCACTCAAGTTTATTAGACACATGTAAAAGATGCCGTCTATTTCAAAGACCTAAAAGATATTATGTCACAACATTGCATAAAGGCCTGAAAGATATACTTACATTTTGCTGTCACTTTGTACCCGCCCAGAGGAGGGGCGTGGCCTTCTAATGCATCAAATCCAGCAGAAACCAGGACCATGTCTGGATCAAACTCTTTGGCCACAGGCGTCACTACAGTCCTGCACAGTAAAAAGGCAACAAGTCACACGTAGGAATGGGGAATACCTTGAAATATTGTGCAGTGAAAATGACTTGGCGCAACCTCAAGAACTTCCCAAGAATAAAGAAAAGGGGAAAGAAACACTACTCTGAATGGATCCAAAACATCATTTCCTTAATACTGAATTACTGTTATCTTAGCATCCCAATTCAGTCTTTTTTCTTTCATCTTTTTTACTCCAAATTAAAAAATATATATATGCTCTGCAGGTACATTCTAAAGGCCGACGTATTACATGCACATCTGTGGCTGTTTTATCCCACTGCCTATAAAAAACTGCTTCTTCCAGGGGAGTGACTAATGTTTTACAGAGGAAAGCTGAAGCTTTAGTGAAAATCTGGCTAGCTCCAGTTAGTGAGAACTTGGTGTAGATTTGAACTATAAATTTCTTTTGGGAAAAAGTTGCTTTCCCAACTTTTTTTAAAAAACATTTTAAAATATTTGTCATGGTAGGGGGTGATTCTTGCAAAGGAAAAACATGAAATTCCTTTAATAGAATCCAGACTATAATGTTAAGTGAGTCCAAGGTCAGAGACACCAGGAATGTGGCAGCCGCATCCATGACAGCAACCCCTGCAGGCCCCACTCAGACACTTCAGCACTTACCTCTTCAACCTTCTCAGGCCTCCCTAACCTCTTTCTCCTCAGTGTGGATTTGAGAGAGAATGACTAATGGATACTAGTAGGATTTATAAAATCAAATTTTTTTTAAATGGAGGCTTCAAGACCAGTGTGCAATCATTAAAATTCAAATTTTCAAAGACTATATAATGACATGGGGAAATGGCATACTATAGCGAATTTAAAAAGCAGTAAGTTCTCTATTGTGTGTTTAGGAGAAATAACTAAATCAAATATTAAAATAGTTATCCTTGAGTAATGACATACATGTTTAAAAAATGTTTTTAATGTTTGATAATTTCCCCAATGTTCTGCAACAACCACATATTAGTTTTACACTTAAAAATGTTTTGCATATAAACAAGAAGTTGTTGAAGTTATAAAATAAAAAATACTTGTTTGAAACTTACCTAGATAGAGATATAAATCAAGGAAATGTTTTTCATAACTCCATTACTGTCGTAGAGGTACAAAAGTTCAATCCTTCAAATTCATAAATGTACATGTAAGTGACTTCCATGGTAGTCCTTCCAATAATTGGAAATCCATTTACATCTGAATTGGCTCATTAGTGAAACTAAGTGGAAACCTAATTTTGTTGACTGTGTGCAATTTCATTATTTTATTCTTCAATAAAATTAAGAATCTCTAATACAGCTACATTATCAGGGAAAGTATCTTCAATTCTTTTCTTCCTAATAATATCAACTCTTACATTATAATTTTCATAAAAGTGTCACATATTATCAATTCACTACTTTTCATTAGTGAAATAGCCATGTGATGTATGTTGTTGGGATATTAGATATTGGAATAAGTTGTCTCAAGGAATCAAGAATGTTTTATCAAGGTACTCCATCTACTCAGTTTGATTAACCCTATGTACTCACTTAGAGAACAGACAATACTCTTAGGAAAATACGTTGGTGATGATTGAACAAGGTTGTCTGTCCAGTCATATGCATCATAGTAACAAATTTTCCATCTCCTTTCCCTCTGTTTGGAAGGTTTCTCCCCCTCCTCTTCTTTTCTCCCCAATTTATTCTTGTAAGAGCAATTGAAGGGTAAACATCCTTCAAGGCACAGCTCACTTACTGTCTTCTCCAAAAAGCTTCTCTCTATAATAAAATGATGAAACTAAGACCCCATAGATCTCTTTATCGTGGCAATTATTGTAGCATGTACATGGAGTGTTTTTACTCTTCCATTTATGCAAGTCTAGACTGATTTTTATTCAAAAGATCTTTCATGTCTGAAAGATTGAAAAACACATCTGAGAGTATTAAAAATCTGGCTAGCTCCAGTTAGTGAGAACTTGGTGTAGATTTGAACTATAAATTTCTTTATAGAGAGTATTAAGTGGGAAAAACAATGTAATTTTTCTTAAATAGAAGAAATCCTCAAAGACATTCATTTAAAATTTTATCTGAAGAATTGAGTTCTCCGGTTAAAGACAGCAAACAAAGCATATGTGTTTGTGCCTCCTCTTTCCTAATATCCCACTGAAAGGAAAGTATAGGAATATACACATGAACTCATAATAGATATCAGGTAAATGCACACAAATAACTTTCGACGTGTGTGTATGCATGGGTTAGTATGTATTTCCTAGAAGCAATGACAGCCCAGTAGCAAAGAGCACAGTTAGTGCACAGATCTTGTTTTTCTAATATCAATCTCCAATACAGGGATCCAGGGATCCGTGGAGAAGTGATTGATTCCAGAACTGGGTCAGGGAAAGTACAAGATATTTCTGGAATATCTTATAGTGACAGGAAACAATGAAATGCTCAAAAAGGGATGGGGACATGTTGATAGGGCATATGAACCAGAGTGAAAGAGCTCTCTCCCAACAGCTAAAGCTGGGACAATTTGAGTAACAAAATAAATAATAACAGTATTGGATTATATTCCATAGAGTTAAATAAGTATCCATAAATCCACACAGAGATTAAAAATAAGAGAATAAATAGAGAAAAGAATAAACAGCTGTGCCTTACAGAAAAATTTCAACTAATAAATGTAGAAGAATTGAGGGAAATAGAAAATCATCATTTGAACAAGACAGAAATAATTGATGCAGGAAAGATATATGGAGGGATGCAGAAATTAGTAGTCAAAAGCTTGAGAAGAAACATGATATCTGCATAATCCAAAAGTAACTTGCCCATGATTATTATGAAGGAAAAAAGTAGAAACTTTACAATGAAGAAAGCTGCAGACACCACATTACTAAAGTGATGAAGGTTGACATCTCTAGTGATGAGACATATCAACATCAATACTTCTTGATCTGATACACTGAGAAAGGCAGATCAGTTCTACAGCATTCTTGCTAAAAATATATACCCTCAAATCTAATAATGAGAAAACATCAGACAAACCTAAATTGAGGGACATTTGACAAAATAACTGACCAGTACACTTTAAAAGTCATGGCCAGGAAAGACTAAGGGATGCTATTGATTGGAAAAGACTAAGGAGACATGGCATCTGAATGCAATGTGAGGCTCTGGACTGGATCCTGAAACAGAAAAAGGACATTGGTGGAAAAACTGCAGTCCCATATAAAATCTGTAGTTTAGCTAACAGTATTGTACAAATACTAATTTCTTAATTTTGATAATTCTACTATGGTTATGTAAGTTTTTAATATTAGGGAGAGCTGGATGTAGGGCACACAGGAATTCTATGATATTCTTACAACTTTCTGTAAGTCCAATAGTATTTCAAAGTAAAATGCTACCAAATGTCAGAATACCAAAAAAGGAATAAATGTATAACAACAAAAGACAATGGGAGAGTTGTCAACGAGCAGAGATACTTAACAAATTTCCAGAAGAGGGAAATTGACTGGGTGCATACTGAAAAAATGAAACAAAAAAAGAAAGCTACCACCCTGAACATGCTCTCATGGGACCACAGAAGAGATGGAGGACACTCCACCTAATAGAACCCCAATGAAGGAAAGCATAGTGAAGGAAAAGAGAGGACTAAAACCAAGAAATTAAAGAAATGTTAGTTTGTTAAGAAGACCAAGACGACATCCCAACACTTTTATTATCTTTCCTCCATGCCAGCAACCAGTGTTTAATCCCACGCAGAACATTCAGATGACTCTTTTTAAAGAAAAGGATGTGTCTGGAGAAAGCCAAGGTTTCTAGTATGGATACTGTTGCCCTAAAATAGTCTTCCTTATTTTGTCATTTAGGGAGATTCAGAGAGCATGAGCCATCTTTTGGAACACTAACCCCAAAGTAGAGTTTGGTGGTCCACACACTCTATCCCACACTGGCTGACAAAGAGCTCCCAATTGACCCTTTTACACAACCACAGGGAAAACCGACACGTTACTACTTTCATAAACATCAACGGCAAAGCAGGAATTTCCTGGCATATAAAGAGACCCAGTAGTATGAAGAAAAAAAGTGATTAAAATAAACATAAATATAAGCAACTCTGGACAAAACAAGAGAAATAATAATCTCAAAGAGATTCAAGAACATATTTTATCTTTAAAACACAGACATGCTGTTATGAAAAAAAATCAAGGAAAGCACTTAAATATAAAAACCACAATTGCAAAAATTAATAGAAGGTCTGAAAAAATAAAGTTGAAGTAATCTCTCATAAGAAGAGGCAAATAGATAAAATATATAATAACTCGGAAAATATGAGACATAAAGGATCAATGCAGAAGTCTTATATTTGAAGGATAGGCTCCCTGAGAATGCTGAGAAAGAGAGGGGAGGACATTTTCAACTAATAACAGAAGATAAATTTTAGGAACTGAAAAATAACTCAAGTCTATAGATTTGCTAAGTCCAACCAGTGCAAAGCTCTATGCATAAAAACATATACATACTTAAACATATTCTCATGAAAATTCAAATCCTGAGGGATCCTTTAAAAAGAAAAAAGGTCATCCTCAAGAGACAGAATGAGACTGACATCAAAGTCCTAATCAGAAATACTGAATGTCCTTATATTCTGAGAGAAAATTATTTTTAAACTTTATTCCTACTTCCAGCCATTATATACTAGTATTCAAGTATGTTACTTAAATAAAAATACTTTAAGATGTGTAAGGACTTAGAAATTTAATTCCAAAGTAACCTTTCTGAGTAATTTAATTGGGAATGTACTTCTGCAATGCAAGAAAGTAAACCAAAGAAATACAGAGATGTAGGAAAAAAGTAGTGGATATATGGGACCAGCCTGGTGGCGCAGCAGTTAAGTTCACATGTCCTGCTTCAGTGGCCTCGGGTTCACTGGTTCGGATCCTGGGTGTAGACCTACGCACTGCTTGTCAAGCCATGCTGTGGCAGGGGTCCCACA